TCAGCTGGCAGGTATCCCAGCTAGCGGGGAATCCCTCGGGGTGGAAAGGCTGATTTATGCTCGCTCTTCCCGCCCGTGCTCTCCTCGCCTCTCCCTGCCGGCACCCCGCACCTCAAATTCCTGGGATGCTCCGGGCAGCCCCTTATCGCCCTGGTATGCCGGCCAGCCGCGTCCCTCCTGGGGGGAGCAGCAAGCCGCCCAGACACGGATTTCCACCTCTTCCCCCTTGTTTTTTTGCCTGGGGAAGTTTGCTCCATCTCTCGCTCTTCCCGCCCGTGCTCTCCTCGCCTCTCCCTGCCGGCACCCCGCACCTCAAATTCCTGGGATGCTCCGGGCAGCCCCTTATCGCCCTGGTATGCCGGCCAGCCGCGTCCCTCCTGGGGGGAGCAGCAAGCCGCCCAGACACGGATTTCCACCTCTTCCCCCTTGTTTTTTTGCCTGGGGAAGTTTGCTCCATCTCGTACTCGTCTCCCTGCTCTCCCCTGACCGAGGGGAGGAGGAGGATGGCGCAGACAGGAGGAAGGCAGGGTGGGGAGGATGGGCAGCTGGAGGGCCCAGGTTGGGGTGTGCAGGAGGCCTGGGAGAGCTGGAGGCTGGGAACCGCTGCTGCCTGCAGCGACAAGTCGTGCTGAGAGCGGTCTGCTCGGCGCATGTCAGGCCTGACCTGAGTGGCGTTTCCCAGGCTGCTGATTCCCAGGACTTGACCATGCACCTAGCAGGGTGGGTGATAAAACACAGCTCGTGGGGTGTTTTAAAGGGAAAAGTAGGCTTCTAGCCCTGGGAGTGCTGGAGAAAAGCTGAAGAGCTCCAAAACACAGCGACAAGTAACCAACCTCGAGAGCGTTCCCCAAAACTTGTAGGGGTGGCCGGGCTGGCCAGGAAGCACCTCCCTGAGGGAGAGGTGGCTGGGCCAGGTGGGAGAGCTTTGCCTCTCAAGAGGAGACCGGTGCCTCGGGTGCAGCGACTGCCACCCCTCCGCCTTGGGGCGCGGGGCGTGTGTTGCATGGGCACGGTGCAGACCTTCACTAATTTGGTTCATTTGTTTCGATTTCCCCAGAAAGTTCCCTTTAGCAGAGGGACACCACCCTTGAGACACATGCCCCAGGACCTGGAAAGAGGAACTGGACACTGCTCGCCGCGTAAAAGCTCAGTGCAGAGGACTATTCGAGGCAGGCATCCTCTGCGTGCATGACATGGCGCTGACGGGTGATCGAAGGGGTAGAGCAAACTCTGCTGTTGCTGGTGTCACTGATTTGGGGAGGCCCTTGGGTCTCTGCAGCTTGGCTGGCTGTGGGCAGAAGGGCTGCAAGCCTAGAGCTGGTGGAAACGCATGGGAGCGAGTGCTGGGAGCTGCCCAGTAGCACTGGGTTTTGGTGTTGCGTTGCTCAGTCGTGCCTGCCGAGCAAGTCGGGTTGCCCCACCTTGGAGGGGCTGGAGAGCGAGGTGGGCTTTTGACCCTGAGGACACGGCCACTGAGTGGGAATGAGGCCCCTGAGCTGGATCTGTGGGCACTAGCCCCAGAGCCGGTCCTTCCAGAAACGCCGATAGCCAAATGACTTTTTGAAAGCGACTCCAAAGGAGCCATCAGCGGGGACTTTGGCAAACCTCAGGCTTGGCAGAGCAGACTCGGGTCTGCCCACCGTGCTGGGGGAGAGCTTCCTGGCCTGGCTCCACCATTCCTGGAGCGCTGGGTGGAGATGCTCCATCTGCCTTGCCGGAGCTGGCTGCGGTCCGTGTTTCTGCAGCCTGGGCAACTGCCCCAGCTCGGGCTGAACACCTTCTGGCTCGCGCTGCCAGACCCTGGTGGGGTCCAGCTTGCAGCAGAGCTGCCCTGAGCAGCTGTGGAGGGTGAGAGACCTCGTTCAGGCCCAGCAGCACCCGCACCTTGAGTGGGAGACTGCAGCTGGGAAAGCAGAGGCGCGCCGTGCGAAGGGGAGCGGGGGCCGACAAGGCTGATGCAGAACGAGGCCTGGAACTGGGTCTAGCTGCCGCAAGCTTGTCCCCCTCGGGGGCCG